AGATGGAACCTCAGCCTGACTCCCCCCACACAGCATGGGAGCTCCCTCTGAGATCATATTCATTACTCTGTGTGTGTGTGTGTGTGTGTGTGTGTGTTAATGTTTAGCTCAATCCCATGAGTTCAATAGAGAAGATCATTTCTGAAAACTGTTGGCTAAGCATGGCACACACTGTTGAGTGTGTGTGTGCTGTTGAACGTATGTGTGGAGGTGCTTGTTTCTTCTACATGATTTCAAGTGGCTGTGTGAGCCTGTAGCCTGGCTCATTATGGTCGTTCTCTGTGTCTTTATTAGGCCAGTAATGGCTGACAGCAGGAAGGCAGAACATTACATTGATCCCTCTATAATTATTCCACAGTTAGCACAGCATCGCCCTGTGTGCACGTTCTGTGTGAGCGTGCACACAAAATGTGTATCACTGCAAAATACAAACAATGTGAAAATGATTCCTCTGTTCGAACTCTTCTACTTCTCTGTATTTACTGAAGCCCTGTTGACAGGCTCCCTCTGCCTTTCTCTTCATTTGTATTGCGCTTAATTGGCATCTGTTTTGTAATAAATATATTTAAGCTTGGCTGCATGGGAAAAGGCCAACATACTTTAAGAGAGACATTAGGACAAGCAAGTGTCTCTAAACCCTTGGTTTGCATCACCATTGGCTGTCTTTATTTGCCTTTCATTTGTTAACTGCACTGTCCCTCATTTTCAGTCACCCTCTTTCATGTTATGCGATACAGGCAAATATGTCACAAAAATAATATTTGTTTGTGTTTTGTCAAGGCCAGATTCCAGTCGGATGTGCCTATGTGAGGTTGAACCTCACTCTAGTTAAACTGTGACTGCAAAGCTTGGTAGCAAATCATTCTTAGAGTTGAGCTAGATGACCCAACAATCCAACCATATGGGGGGGTTTGGAATACTTCTGCTGTTTGCTTTTGATTTACCTGTATATCTGGTCAGCTACAAAGCTGCTTAGTGCACCTTCAGTTAAAGGTCTCCTATTATATCATTTGTAGGCATATATTATAGGTCTATGAAGTGTTTTGCTCAAAATACCAAACAGATCACCCTTTCTAGCCATGCCTCATACCCCTCTATTTCAGCCCTGTACCACCGTTTTTAGAGATGTGGGTAAGGAGGAAAAGAGAGAGGGTTGTATTTTCTGACACTTTGTAAAATCTCCTTACAATATACCTATG